ACAGCCCCAGGCTCAGCCCCACCCCTCTCCAGGCCTGACCTCCGAGGGCATCTACCGCAAATGCGGGCAGACTTCGAAGACTCAGCGGCTGCTGGAGAGCCTGCGGCAGGACGCCCGCTCTGTGCGCCTCAAGGAGGGCGAGCAGCATGTAGACGACGTCTCCTCGGCTCTCAAGCGCTTCCTGCGAGACCTGCCCGACGGGCTCTTCACGCGGGCCCAGCGCCTGGTCTGGCTGGAGGCCTCAGGTGGGCCCAGCAGACTGTGCCCAGACGGAGACCCAGGCCGTGCTGCGGCCTCAGCCTCTTACACTTCTCCCCTTCCAGTCTCACCCTTGGGCAAGGCATGCCCAGCCGTCAGGTTTCAGTCCTCTGCTGCTCATTTCCGTTGACACCCTAGAGACCAGTGTCACTTGGAGATACGGGTAGCTTTTCTGAGTGCTTGATCTGATTTAGGGGGAGGCAGGGTGTGTTCTCACCGAGGATGAGAAGCAGAGTGGCCAGAAGGTTGGATGGGGAGGTGGTCACAGAGGGGTTACTGACCTCACCTATTTCTCCCCACCCAGAGATTGAGGATGAAGAGCTGAAGGTCTCCAGGTACCGAGAGCTGCTGGCACGTCTGCCTCCAGTCAACCGGGCCACGGTGAAGGCCCTTATCAGCCACCTATACTGGTGAGGGGTGATACTGTTGTGAGGCTCTGGGGGTGGGGTTAGGGGAGAAGCTGCCAGCTTGGCTGACTTCTCTCCCCCGAGACCCATATAGACCTGGGCACTGATGCTGACTTAAATCCCTGATCTTGAACTGCTCCCCAGTTCCTAACTTCCTTGCTGCCAGCTTACTTCCCACAGGGTGGGAGAGTAGGGGTAAGGGTGCCTTGGCCAGACCACCCAGCTTCCCAGCCCTACTCCAAGACACTTGCCCAAGACACGGCCAGAAAGTGGCTAGTGGGCCTTCCGTGGCTTCACTCCAGGGGGCAGTCATGGGCCTGTCAGGAATTGGGAAGGTGAGCGGGGAAGTTCTGATCCTGACTCCTCGTTCAAACCCTCCATCCTCCCCTGTCCAGTGTCCAGTGCTTCTCAGACACGAACCAGATGAACACGCACAACCTGGCTATTGTGTTTGGGCCCACGCTTTTTCAGACGGATGGGCAGGACTACAAGGCCGGCCGTGTGGTGGAGGACCTCATCAGCCACTATGTGGTGGTGTTCAGTGTGCGTCCCACGGTGCTCTAGAGGGCAGCTCTGGAGGGCAGGGCTGAGCTCCCAGGTGGCAGTGACCCTCTGTCCCTGTCCCTCTCCTCTTCCCAGGTGGATGAAGAGGAACTGAGGAAGCAGCGGGAGGAGGTCACTGCCATTGTGAAGATGCGTGTGGCTGGCACTGCCAGTGGTACCCAGGTGAGGGACCAAGCCGGGGCTGGGGGCCTCAGGCCTTCCACCTGCACACGCTCTTTGGCTGAGACCTTTACCCCACAGCATGCTGGTGACTTCATCTGCACGGTGTACCTGGAGGAGAAGAAGGCAGATGCTGAACAGCATATCAAGGTCAGGGCTAGGATACAGAAGCCAAGGGGTTGGACAGGGCCACACTAGGCCCAGGTGACTGGGGGCAGGACTTCCATCCCCAAGGAATCTATATCTGGCTGTACTGTGACCTATCGCTTCTCATCCCAGCTCGCCTTCAGGAGACCCTGAGGGCGGGTGGGCTTGGCTTTTGGGACCACACAGCAAGGTTGTGGCAGAGCAAGGTTGGAAGACAGGGTAGGCTGATCTTCTCTTTGGTCACTGCAGATCCCAGCATCCATGACAGCTGAGGAGCTCACCATGGAGATCCTGGATCGCAGGAATGTTGGCATCAGGGAAAAGGACTATTGGACCTGCTTCGAGGTCAACGAGAGGGAGGAGGCAGGTGAGTGGCCACCGGGATTGCTGCTGGGCCTTGGCCTTGACTAGGCCACCCCACCCCATAGTATGGGGACAGTGGTGGTGAAGGGAGCCTGAGTGATACGTGTAGCTGTCACACTGTGATTTCAGTGATGGTGACGGCGTGTTGACAAGGGTCGAGGTGATGGGCTATAATGTGACCGACCGGGCTGCGAGGGGAAAGACAGTGAAGGTGGCAGATTGTGTGGCTATGACCTTGTTTTCTCAGGTGTCTGAGGATGGTTTTTCTTGTGAGGGCGATGCTGCTGAATTTGATAATAGCATTGAGGGTTATGTTGGTGGTGAAGGGGGGGTGGCCGGTGAGCACATTTAGAGACATGAGGTGGTGGTATAGCTAAGGGTGACTGTGCTGATTGGGGAGGAGCCATGGTAGTGAAGCGGGGGGCAGGGGGCGATAAATGCCTTAGGACGGAGCCATGTTGGTAGCAGCACAAAGTGAGGGTGTAGCTAATGATTTGTTTTAGCCGTTACTGTTGAGTGCTGGGTGCTAGGCTGGAGAGCCAAATGCACAGCCCCTACCCAGCCTCATGGGGTTAGCCTGGTGCGGAATAGTCATCAGTCCTGTGATCACACCACTTAACGTGCAACTACAGCCGCATTAACTGTAGTAAGGGGTCATGGTGCCACCAGACCTTGTAACGGGGCCTCTGGCTTCAGAGCCATTGACCTAGGAGGTCAAGGTGGGTGGGGTCACCTGTGAAGAGGAAGGAGACGTGCTTCCTGGTAGTGGGAGCGGCTTGGGCAAAGGCCTGGGGGCACCGGCACTGCCCTTTCCAGGAGCTTGGGAGGAGGAAGTGAGGGGCGTGGAGCTGATGGGGGAGGCTGGAGGTAGAGGAGTCGGCCGCACAGGGCCTGCCGGCAGTACAAGGCCACTGTGAGGGCCACGATCAGGAGTTCGCCGCTGTAGAGAGAGCCAAGGGGGAGAGGAGCAGGAGCACAGGCGGGAGCCCACGGTGCAGTCCAAGGAGAAGGTGGCATGGGCCAGGACGGAGGCAGTGGCGATGGGCAGAGTCCCCAAGTGGAGTGTGAGCGGGAGGCTTTGTTTCCGGCTTCCGTGCCCTGGCAGGCAGGGGTGCTGTCTTTCTGAAGGGAAGATCGCCGGCTGGCTTGGTCTAGTCACACTGAGTTAGAGCAGCTCTGGTCCCCGCCCGGCGAGTCCAGCCTGGGGCTCGGTGTGGGGTCACGGTGCCAGTTGACAGTGGAGTGGGTGGCGCTGTCTGTGCATGTGCCAGCCCTCAGTGCTGTCAGGCCGTGACAGGGGGTGTGACCTCTCCCCAGAGCGTCCCCTGCACTTTGCGGAGAAGGTGCTACCCATCCTGCACGGGCTGGGCATAGACAGCTACCTGGTGGTGAAGAAGCACCAGTCCATGGAGGCCATGCTGCTCTACCTGGGTGAGTGGTACCAGCCTGCAGAGCCAGGCAGGCGGGCGAGTCCCTCCACCCAGAGTCGGGGCGGGACCCGGTGGCAGAGGTCGAGAGCAGCCGAGGCGAGGACCCCAGGGGGGCAGGCCCTTTTGGAGGCAGGAGCAGTTTCCTCCATTCTGGGTTCCTGCCCTTGTCTGGGGCTGGTGTAGCCCATGCCCACTTCAGTCCTCCCCTAGCCAGCCATGTGGGCGACACCAAGCATGGCATGATGAAGTTCCGCGAGGATCGAAGCCTCCTGGGCCTGGGCCTGCCCTCAGGTGGCTTCCACGATCGCTACTTCATCCTCAACAGCAGCTGCCTGCGGCTCTACAAGGAGATCCGGGTGAGCAGCCCCCCACACACCCAGGCCCAGACCTGCCTGTGGGTCTGCTACTGGGAGCAACTCCAGCAGGGGTCCTGAGATGGCTCAGTAGTGGGAGAGCTGTAGACTCTCGGGGGCCCTCCTGCTCTGGCCCTGGGTGCACACTGTGCTGTGCTCTGGGCCCCTCTGGGCCCGGGACCTGTGCTGTCACGTCAGGCAGGCACTGCTGGCTCACCTGGGCCTGTGCTTGGCACGGAGCCTTCAAGAATGTGCTACATGGCCCTGAGGAATGGGCATGTGCCCTGTCACTCCACAGGTCGTGCCTCCTCCTGGCCCGCTCCATTCCCACCCTGTTCCCAACCCAGACTCTGTCCTGGTAGACCACCACACCCCCCTCCTTTCTACCGATTATCTGCACATACAGCCCGGGTCCCCCCATGCACCACCACACACACACTCTCCTGGCTCTGGACCTGGGCTTCCTCCCCCGTAACCCTGATCTCTATCAAACAGAGCCAGAGGTCGTGGAGCGGGGTCCCTGATGCCGTGAGTAGCTGTGGGTGAACTGCCAGCTGCCTTACACCGCCTGGGGGCCAAGCGAGCCTGGGGGTAGTGTGGGGTCACACAGGCAGAGCTCCTGGCTGTCTCCAGGCATGGTTTCCTGTTGTTTTGTCAATCAGCCCTGGTCGCCACCCTGGGGCTTGTGGCCTGGGCTCCTGCCCTTCATTTTCTACCTTTTTCCGGAAGACCCTTTTCCTTTCCCCAAGATAGGCTTCCCCATCAGTGAAATGCTCTAGACTTTTCAAAAGTACTCAGCGTGGAGGTTTGTGGTGCCCCAAGGGAGGCCCCTACCTACGTTAGAATTAGAGCTCCGATCTTCGTCTCCTCTTGTCCCTGGAGCCACCCTCTTTCCAAGCCTGGAGAAAGTTCCAGGGCTATTAGAATGTCCTTGCTACTGCTCTGGCCTTAAAATGCCAGAGTGGGACTACACAACCTCGTGGCCTACATCTGAGCCTTGGTGGCGTGTCCTGAACGGTTGCCAGCCTCTGTTGGCACTATGCTGGGAGAAGGGAATTCATCCACTTCTCTCTGGGCTGCTCTATCCCTGGAGGGATACTTCCCCCTGGGAGAAGGCCCTTGCTTAGCTTCAGCGGAGAACTTGACTCCTCCGGTGCCCTGCGGGTCCCTTGGGGCTCAGAGCATAGGTGCTCTGTGGGGACGGGCAGCAGAATCGTGTTACCAAACCCGCCGTCAGGCCTGAGCTCCCACCACTGCCCCTACCACCCACTCTAGCCCTTCCTGCCCCCTGTGTCTCCTGGAGAAGGGCCGCCAGGCAGGCCTGGCTGCTGTGGAAGGGGTCAGGGCAGATAGAGCAGGACCTCATGTCCTCCTGCACTTTATACCTGTGTTAATGCAACCCAGGCTCCTGCTGACCCTTGTGGAGAATGCCTCCTCCCCTTCTGCCTCCCGCTGTGATCCCATCCTTACTTCTGGGCCTCTCACCTCTCCAGGCAGTTCCCTTGGTTCTGGGATATTCCCCGGCCCCCTCCCTCGGGTATTTGACCCTTGGAGCAGAGCAAGGGCAGCAGTGTGGGCAGAGCGATTGGCACATATGGGAGAAGGCAGGGGAGCCAGCGAAGGGACACAGATCTAATGTTTATCGGCCCAGACTCAGCACCCAGTCCTTTGCCAGTGCAGCCTGGGACAGAGCGCCTCACTGCAGGCCTGTGAGGAGGGGTATTAGCCCAGTTCAGCTGGGAGAGCAGGCTCCTAGTGACGCACCCAACCTGTCTCTGGGTGGGAGACTGGGATTCCACCCCGGATCTGACAGCGTCAGAACCTCAGCTTTGATTCCCTCAAGTACGGGAGTACTCGGCAGACAGGGCCTGGGGAGCGCAGGGTTACGTGGGCTCTCCCCAGGGGCAATTTGCGCTTTCTGGCCTGACAGAAACCCTGGCACTTTGGCCACCGATTGGAGGACGAAGCAATTTTGGTATTTACTGGTTTAGAAGGCAACAGGCCAGAATATTGAAAGTTGGGACAATTATTCAGTTCCAGATAGGTGAACCCTCAAACCTCCTACCAGGGGTCTCCCATTGTTGAAAACCCTGAGGTATCCAGGAATAGCGCATTTTAGAAAGATCTTGGTTCCAGCTGAGGTCTTCGAGCATCAAGGGGAGAACTTCATTCTCTGCTGGCGACCTCATACCTCAGAGAAATCAAGTCCTTGGACCCAAAGATTCCACTAATGCTTCCCTCACCCTTCTCCCTAAAGGCGCCCCTAAACCTGCGATCTCTGCCGTGCCCAGGTCACACACACCACACAGCTGCTTCGTCCTCCAGAGCTGGAGGGAGGGCGAGCTGAGGATTGTTGATTAGCTCCTCAAGGAGCCACACACAGCCTGGCTTGGATTCCTCAGCTCCAGCATTCTCTCGCTGCCTGACCTCGCACCCACAGCCCGGCCCCTGCTCGGGGTTTGCGCTCATCCTCGCTCCTCGTCTTCCTCTCTCACCCCCCTGCCTGACTTCTTGCAAGTCTGCAGTCCGCGCTCCACTCCCTGCCCAACTCCTTCCGCATCCACCGCCCAGTTTCCCCGGCGTCCTTTCTTGTCTCACGCCTCCCGTCTGGTGCTTACCTCGCCTGTAGCCCGATTTCTCCCATGGCCTGTCTCCGTCTCTCCATTCCTGCCCCCTGGTTTCTTCGACCGGCCGTCTCATTTCTTCAAAGCCCTCCACCTTGCTTCTCGAACCCCCTCACAGGAGGTTTCTTCCCATGTTGTCCCCACACCACAGTCTGTCTCCCTTCCTGCTGCCTGCTTCCTCCCTGCCTGCTGTCCCGATCATCTGTGTCCACAGTCCAGTTTTTCCCCAGGCCCCTTTGGGCAAGTGCCCTTTGTGGGTCAGGTGCTCTGTAGGAAACAGGGTAGTTATTGGGGTAGAGTGGGATGGAAGGTCCCTAGCAAGCCCCTCTTGAACCATACCCCTTGCAACAGCTTCTAAGTCTTCACTGTTCGCTGGGCAGCTCAGCCTTTCAGGACCTCACAAGGAAGTCCACCAGTTCCTCAGACTTTCAACTTCCCCTGGCCATGCCCCACTTGCCATTTTTTGTTCCTGCCCAGAAGCCATGCCTGGGGATGTCTTGGAGCACTGGTGGGAAACAGGGTGGAAGTAGCCAGGCTTTGACCCCCAGCATCGGTTGTAAGTGAGTTCCCCTTCCCTGCTGACCGCCCTGGCACTGGGGTGCCTGGTGGGGGCAGGGTGTCAAACAAGTGGCTGGCTGCTGGACAAGAGGAAGGCTCATTAGCTTGACCTCCAGCCAGCCTCTTTCTTGGGGGTCATTACTCCCGCCCCCCTGCCTCAGAACCAGCCTGCTCCTTCCAGACCCAGGCCCAGACCCATATGCAGAGGTGGGGACCAGAAGTGAGGTGTCAGTGATCTGGTGCCCCTCCCCCGTACATTGGTCTCCTGCTTCCTGACCTAGACCACTGGGAAGTTCTTCCTTTGGTCTACTGAACAGCCATTCTGCTTCAGCTCAAATCAGTCTCCTCCTCATAAAATCAAAGAGCTAGTAACTGCTGACCACACAGCCTTCTATCACACAGTCAACCCTGGAGCCTCTGTGGGGCAGGAAGGGGTAAGAAACCCCCAAGACAAATGCAGCAGCCCACTGATGCGCTCAGGACACCCACCTGCTCCCGTCGGGGCCAGAGAGTGGTGCACAGCACTTCTTCCCCCACAGACCGTCAGTTTTGCCAATGCTACAAGTCGGTTCTCCAATCTGCAGGGTGGCAGGGAGGGCCTGGGAACCACGGCCCTGGCTTTCCCACTGGGGCCACTGCCTCAGGGGCTGAGGGTTGACTGTCTGATGCTGCTGCTGGGAGAGGCCTGGGGGCTTAGTTGGGTGGGTTGTGCACAAGGATGGCTTCATCAAGAAGGCCTCCTGGATGCAGAGGGGAGTGGGGAGAGGGCAGGGAAGGTACCCAGTCAGAAAAATGAAGGCTCCATTGCCTGCTCTGAGTTATGTATCCTCTCCATCTGCCCTCCTCCACCTTAGAGCCACCGGCCAGAGAAGGAATGGCCTGTGAAAAGTCTCAAAGTCTACCTGGGAGTGAAGAAGAAACTCCGACCACCTACCTGGTGAGCTGGGACTGGGTAGATAGGGCTGTTGACCCAGGCCTGCGGCATTTTGGGCCGATGGGGGATCCTTGAACTCAGCTGGGCTCGGTACAGGCCTTCTGAAGCTATGGCCTCCCAGATCTGCAGCATCAACCTCAGCAGCGAATATGTTAGAGTCCTGAAATCCCAGCTCTGCCACAGATGTGCAAAATCCCAGATTCTGGGCTTGGCACCAGCAGTGTGTGTTGTAATGAGCTGTCCAGGGAACACTGCTGCTTGCTCGTGTTTGAGCACCACTGGCCCGGATTGAAATCCTGCACTGACTTTTCAGTGCTTCACCTCCCACATCTGAAAATGGGGGAGATAATGGTACCCTTCAAAGGTGACTGTGCTTTAAAATGTTGAAACATTGAAAAGTGGTAGGTAACTACTATTGTTAATTTCAGTCCTCCGTCCTGGTCTTCTGCCTCTCACCCCCCCGCCGTGCCTGCTTGTCTCCCAGGGACTGGGGCAGATCTAGGGTAGGGTGGGGGCGGGGGGCCCCACGGCCTGGGAGGCTGGTGCGGGCTGCAGAAGGAAGAGGCAGCAGCCAGGATGCACTTTGCTTGTGAGAAAGCCCCAGGCTCTGCTTGCCCCAGGCCCTGGGCTGTGAGGCCTCTGTGGACTGTCAGTAACCACACTCTCCCCTCCCTGCAGCTGGGGCTTCACAGTGGTCCATGAGACAGAGAAACATGAGAAGCAGCAGTGGTGAGTGAATGCCCTGAGACCTCAGGCTGAGGAGAGATAGTAACACGTTCCCTGGATTGAGTCCCCCTCATCGTCTGGATCTGTGCCCTGCCCAAGACCCTAATTTGGGGAAATGTCCAGAACTTCTTCACAATGTCCAGAACTGTGTCCCTCCCTGCAGGTATCTCTGCTGTGAGACACAGATGGAGCTCCGCGAGTGGTTTGCTACCTTCCTCTTTGTGCAGGTACCAGGTGCAGGGTGGGGGTACCCCATTAAGGAGGGTGGTACATTTGCTGCTCCACTCTTCAAGCCACCACAAGGAGATTTTCTTTGAAGATTTATTTATTTATGCATACAGTGCTTGGGTACAGGCCAGAGGGGCAGAGGCGGTGAGAGGCGTCACCAGAGACAGAGTGGGGAGCAGGACAGGCAGATTGACAAAGTACACTGCTGAGGGGAGCAGCGGGCGGGTCAGAAGAGGTCTGCCGCGCCATGTGGGTCACCTCTGGGGCCAGGGATCAAACTCACACTGAAGCGACTGTGGATAGCTTCGCAGTGCTGCACTTTAACCTGCTGTGCCACCAGGGAGGGCCCTGCTTCAAGGAGATTTTGAGTTGCTATCTATCTATCTATCTCTCTACCTCTCTCTATCTATCTATATGCCTATAGACTGTCTATCTATATAGACTATATAGACTGTCTATCTCTATGTCAGTAGACTTACTATCTATCTATCTACTTTCTTTCTTACTTACTTACTTAGTAAACTTCTTGGTGGTTGCTCTGCCCAGCTCTAAGCCAGGACTGCCAGACAGAAGTACAGACCCTTGCACTCCCCACATAGGAAAGAAAGCAGACCCAGAAGTGACGGGTTATAGCAGAGTGGTAGGCGGGTGGGAAAGCGGCGGGAGAGTGTCCTGGGAGTTGATCCTTGGGGCTGATCTTTACCAGGCAAAGGTGACTTCCAGGCAGAGGAAAAGTTTGCACAGAGCAGTGATAAGAGCTACAGATGGTTTGGTCAGGGGTAAGTGGGGAAGCCAGGAGTGCTGGAAGTCGACACTGGAAGAGGAAACAGCAAAATCTCGGTCCTGAGGGCCATGCCAAGGAAGCCGAACTTGACCTAGTCCGCAGTTTGAAGCCGAACTTGACCTAGAGAGAGAAGTATGCAGGTTTAAATCTGAGCAGGCCCATTCTGGAGGCTCATTCTGCAGTGGCTGTTGCAATGGGCTGGACAGGACAGGTCGGCGAGGACTTAGGTGGGTTGCTCTTAAAACAGATTTCTAAATGAGAAATTCACAACATTTAAGGCAAGGGTAAAGAAAAGTGTACCAGGGCCCTGGGCTGAGTTCTGCACTGTTCTTAAACAACTTTCTTTTAGTCCTGAACTCCTTGTAGTCAAGGCCTAACTGGAAACAGGGTGGTTCTATAGTTTTCTGGGCTTTTGGTGAAAGGAGGCACAGACATTTTCCTCTGGAACTGTTTTCTTGGTGCTGCATTCTGGGAGTAGTTTGTTTGTGGACCCACAGATGGGAGTTGTTGAGTAACATAATTGTTTCTGGGTTTTGCCAGGGATACAGTCATGTTCTCCTAACAGCTGCTTCTCATACCGGCTGGGATCAAAGCCGAGGGTGTCACCTTGGATCATAGCTAGAGGCATTTCTGGAAAGGGTGGGTGGATTCTGAGCTGGGTGTCTGGGCCAGCAGAAGCCCAGGCCCAGCACCCCTTCTTTCCCTGTCCCACAGCACAGCGGCCTGGTGTGGCCCTCGGAACCCTCACGTGTGGCCCGGGCAGTGCCTGAGGTCCGTCTGGGTAGTGTATCGTTGATCCCGCTGCGTGGCAGTGAGAACGAAATGCGCCGGAGTGTGGCTGCCTTCACCGCGGACCCCCTTTCTGTGAGTAGCTCTCCATCCCTGTGTGCCAGGGGCCAGGACGTGGCCAGAGCCTACCTGCCCTCTGCCTTTCCTCTCTGCTTCTTCCGAGTGCCCCCCAGCCCCTCTCCCTCGCCCCTTTTAGAAGTCCTGGCAGGCCCCTTTGGTTCTGAGTTCACGGCAGGCCTCTCCCGTCCCCAGAGACCCCAGCCTTCCCCAAGTGTGATGGAACCTGGCTTCTGTGCCTTCCCACAGCTCCTCCGCAACGTCTGAGAGCCGGACTCATACCCTGACGCTGGGATTCTGCTACTGGGAAGCCTTCCTGTTCAGACACCCTCATACGCTGTGTGCCTGGTGTAAGCCAGGAGGGAGCACAGAGGAAGCTGCACCTCGCGTCCCATGTCCTGACTGCAGCATGGATTCATGGAGGGCCGGGAAGCAGCAGGTTCTGCCCTGAGGCGGAACCCCTCCCTCTCTTGGCCTAGCCGTTCAGCCCTGTGGACCTGGCCCACTCACCTCCAGGGTCACCCTCCCTGATTTGGAGGGAAATGGGCATAAATCAAGATATCTGGGGACCACCATCCTTTCAGAGGCCCTATGGCTCCTGCTGGAAGGGAGCCTTCCCTCTTGCCATGCACTCCAGAACAGCAGAAAGTAGATGCTCTAAAGGAACACTCAGCTGGGGGCGGGGAGCTCTTGGGTAAGTTTCTATAGGTCTGAGTAATGGACTTGGGCATTTCAGCCCTTCCCTCCTCTCCTTCCAGCCTGGGAGGCTCAGGCTGCCCGCTGTCCCTTCCCCATTTTGGGAGCCTTTTGATAATATAAATATATCTGTATATTTTATCTTATGGTAATTAGTTGGGGGATTTGGGTGTTCTGGAGTGGGAGGGGACAGGAAGTCAGGAAGCCCAGAGCCGAGTGCCTACTGGGACCTGGGCCCTCTTGCTCCAGATCTGAGCTGTTCCAAACTCCCCAGACCCCTGCACAGGCCTGGTTTGGACCCACCCCACCCTCACTGTACTGTTGCACAGCCAGGGTGGGGAGTGCTGTCCTGACCGGACCAGGAAGGACCCCAGCTGGACTGAGCCCCAGTCCCTGCTATGGTCCGAGTCTGAGCCCAGGATGTGGGGCAGCCCCTCATCAGGCCTCTGGAGATGCAGTCTTAGGTGCTTCATTAAATTGAATTAGGAAAAACAGTCTCAGGTCACCCTTGGCTCCTGTGCACACCCCTCCCAAGGTAGGCCTTGCTTTGAACAACTATAAAGTGGCCCTCACTGGGTGTTGCCCTCTCATCACCAAAATGGCAAGGCCCTGGCAAGTGGAGGAGATAACAAGAGCTGTTAGCAGTTGCATTTGGTACTCCTTGGGAAGGTGCCAGACACACATTCCCACCTCTGCCTACAGCCTCCTGTGGCCTCTCCAGAGACCCAGAAGGCAGACAGACTGACCTCTAGGCCTCAGCCTCAGCTAATGGGGCTGGGGAAAGGGGGTGGAATGTAGGTCACATGACCTGGCTCCCTGACTCATGATCTGGCTGAGGCACAAGCCTGGGTGTTCTAGGAGCCTTGAGGACTGGACTAGGTTTCCTTGTTCCTGTCTTTGGAGAAAGGGAAATCAGAGCTGGGAGCCTACAAATTTGTTGGTCATTTTCATAGGCTGGGGTTAAGCCTCTCCCATCTCCCACTCTTATCCTGCTCAGGCAACCTGCTCTATACTGGACTGACCATTCTACCCACAACCAGGACAAGACCTTTGTCAAAATCCATGGGGGCTTTAATTCTCTGGGCTATACTGCCAGTGTCTTTTGTTTTTTGGCTGTGGTGGCTGCAGTAACTATATTAGGCCACCAGGGGGCAACCTTAGCCAGTGCAACACAACTGGTCCACTACTGGGCTCTGGAGGGCCCCAGTATGACTATCCTGGTCTCCAGGCTTGTTCAGTTGGATTGTGGGGGTGCAACCTGGCCCTCCCATTTTCCCCAATGCTGGTAATATTCTGGAAGGCTGAGTGGTACAGGAGTGTGCTTTGAACTCCTGGGTCATAGGAACCAGGAGGAGAAAAGAGCTCTAGCAAACGGGCATCCACTGTGGGTCAGTGCCAGTGCTCTACACTCTGTCTCCTGGTAGAGTAAGAAAGTTTGACCCAGGGAAGTAGGCAGCCTGCCCAAGCTCATGCAGCTCTCCTAAGTCAGGACTGAGGCCCATTCCACTGCCCGATTTTGAGAGGTCTCCCTCCTCCACTCCCCCCAAGTCAGATCCCAACTGCTCTTTCATCTTATAAGAAGTCCCATTTGTCCCCCAGTGAAGAGGACCTGCACTGTCAGGAGCTAGTGACACTTAAAAGTGCTTTCCTTTGGCTTCTCACATGCCATCCCAATAAGAGCTTTCAGGGCCTCGGCCTGAATGAATTACAGCAGTGACCATGGTGTTGTATGGACATGGGCAGAAGGCTCTTTATCAGAAGGGTTCATAGAAATGGGGCCTTCTGGGACTCCAGCTGGCTTGAGGTTGGGTTGGAGGATTGCACCTGGACCTGCTGAGGTTGGGAGCAGCACTTGAGGAGGGAGGAGGCGGCCCCTGATCTGGCCCTGAAGACTGGAAACCTCGACAGGTGCACATGGTGGGAATGACTTCTGTTTAGAGTAGGGGCAGGAAAGGGGAACTGTGGGTCAACCTTAGTTCACACCTAACAGTAGAGGACCACAGGAAGCCCTGGATGAGAAGTCAGAACCTCAGTGGTGAGGACATTGTGGATGGAGAGGAGGTGAGGGGGCAGGGTGGGAAGGGCGGAAAGGTAGGGTGACATGTTACTTCGTCTTCCCTCTATGTCCCGTTCAACTTACCCATTCTGCAAAGCTTTCATAAAACATCGAGGGCCTCTGGAGACCCCTGGTCTCTCTGCAGGAAATCCATGGAGGAGGGGAGAGAAAGATGCACCCTGCCTCTTGCCCTGCCTCCTGAGCCAGCCTGGAGCTGAGGCCTTTCCTGGCTCCTTGATCTGGTGGCTCCCAAGTCCTGTTCACAGATGGCTGATGGGAAAAGCAAGAGTGTAGATGCCAGCTGAGCAGATGCCAGTGTTCCCATCTATCCCAGCATTCTCACCTGTACTTTGGAGAGATTAATGACACTGAGTAGTGGGAGGATGCAGTGAGCTAATCAGCGGGAAGTGCCCAGCACCGTCCCTTGATAACCTCCTTCCTACATGTGTCTGGGAATACTTCATAGCATCCAGAGTTGTCTTCAGGTCCAATATATTTTCATTTGACAAGTATTGAACACCTTTTGTGCAGTGCTTAACTGAGTGAGAACAGACGAGTTAGAGGACAAGCAGTATTTCTGCGGGTGGAGTGGAGGAAAGACATTGCCAGGAGAGGTGGTGTCATGAGCCAAATGCAAGGTGATACGGTCCTGCAGTGAACCACCTGTTGTGGTTGGGACTTAGTGCTTCACGGGCCTCTGGTGTTGTTTCTAACTGAGGTTCTTTTTAGTTTCTAACTGAGGTTCTTTTTAGTTTGGCCACATTCAGGTCAAATACTCCTTGGGGTTTTCTTCCACCAGAAAAAGGAATCGTTTCTATTCCTTTAGTCAGCTCTGTATCTTAAGTGATGCAGACCCTGAGCTGAGGGGTGTGTCTGTGTAGTCTCTCAGACACAAAGTACAGCTGGCATAAACCACCCAACTCTATTCCAATGACACCTCCTTCAAGAAGCTCTCCTGGATTATTCCCCCACCCTGTTGTACTGTGTGCAATGGGTGTGTGAGTGTGTGTTTGTGTGTGTGTGTTTCTAGGTCACTTGCCCCCAGCTAGAGATTGAGGGGTCGGGTAGAGTTCTCTGGCCAGTCCAAGCTGGTTTAGCCCTAACATGGCCCCTCTCCCATACCACTTGCATCCTGTGGAAATTTCCACACTTTCTCTGCCCTGGTTACAGCTCCTACTGCTGTATTTATCACCCTGGAGACACAGTGGCACAGGCACACGCATGGCACACACACATTCGTGCCCTGCACACACGTGGTCCTGGCACACCTCAGCCTGCACACGCGCACACACACACACACACGCTTGCGGCACATATGGGAACACCCACACACACTAAACTCTCTAGGAAAATTGCCCCCCTCCCTCCTGCTCCACCCCCGCTCTGTCTTCCCACCACCTCCCACCTCAAAACAAAGATGGGCTGGACAGCGCCTCCCACTGCTGTCAGCCTGGGAAGCATCTCCACCTCCATGACGACGTCGTCTTCCCCACCTTCCCTTTCCCACTGTCTCCCCAGCTCTCGCTGCCCTTCCCCCTCTGTCACTTCTCTGCATTTCTATGTATCTCCCCTCTCTCAGTCGCTCTGAGTCCTCTCTCTGATGCTCTTTCGACCCTCTGTGGTGGAAAGAGCACTCCCTGCCTACGTCCTGAGGATCTCAGGAGAGGGTGCTCACAGGAGCTGATGAGGACAGAAGCACAGGCTGAGGGGACCCACGGGTCTGAACCACCTCAGTTCCTGTCACTTTTCAGCCCCTCCACCTGGGTGAGAGGAGGACTGTGTGCCTGGCACCATGGAGACAAGCGTCATGGCAACGTAGCATGGGCACATTCTTCCTCCTGGGGGTGCATAGGAGGCCCCCCTAGGAGGAGCAGCCAGGAAGCCCTTAGGGGGTGTGCCTTGTGCTGGTGCCACACCCGCCTCTAGCTCATACTGTCTCCACAACACCCCCACCCTGGCCACCTCTAATGACACCACAGTTCCCAGTGCCACAGTCCCTAATTCCAATGGGGGCAAAACACTTCATTTTTTTAAGATTTATTTACTTATTCATGCAGAACTGGGGTACAGGCCAGAGATGCGGAGGGTGAGAGGATTCACCAGAGACAGCAGGGAGCAGAACAGGCAGATCGACAAAGTACACTGCTGAGGGGAGCAGCGGGCGGGTCAGGAGAGATCTGCCACACCATGTGGTCACCTCCGGGGCAGGCGGGGATCAAACTCATGTGGAAGTGGCTTTTGATTCTTAGTACAGTGCTTTAACCCACAGCACCACCAGGGAGGGCCCGGGGGCAAAATACTTTTACAAGCAAATTCCAGACCTGGGCTAAAGGCCACTCATAGCTTGAGGATCAGAGAAAGCAGGGGCTTGCCCAGGGACACACAGCTAGTCTAGTCGAGCTGCTGTCCTGGGGCCTCAGTTCTCTCCTGTGGTCTCCTACCATCCACCCAGCCAGCGGTCACTGGAGCGCAAGTTTAGGCCAACCTTGGATCCAGCCACCTGGGGGAATCTCTAGCCTGTCCTCAGTGTTGGCAAGATAACGATCAAATGGTAATGCTGACAAACCATGATGAAATACATCTACTAGGCTGAGATTTGGCTGTGTCATCTTATTTAATATTTGTAACAAGTTCTATGAGGAAGATATTACCATTTTGCAGTTGAAAAAACTGAGGCCTGGACTTGCCAGACTTGCTGATAACAGGCAGCTGCAAGGTGGACAGGAGTGCAGGTTCTCGATGGTGGAGGTGGTCAGAGCATCGTGCCTCACCCTCCCGGCAGGTACTCTTCTAACGTGGTGGCAAGCTCTTGCTTTCAGCCCCATCTTCCCTTCTGAAGAGAGTGTGGGTAAGATCTGGGGTTTGGCCTAGAATACTAGGCCTTTGGGATACTAGAAACTAGAAGGTTAATTTTCTAAGAAGATGGAAGCAGGCTTCTAGTGCGTTTAGACCAAGGAGAGACCTCTGTCGCTGTCCAGCAACATCAGCACTATATCACAATCCTCAGGTCCTGTTAAGAGTCCTGTCTAAGCCCAGGCTGGAGCTTCAGGATGGAAGGAGAACTCAGGCCTCTG